TATTTTTTAATGAGAGGAATCTAATGAGTTTAATATCACTTAATTTTGATGTCATTATAGCACCTAAGTACTAACAGAATGGTCTATGATAAAAAAAATTTAGTATGGGCATGATGGAGTATTTTGGATATTTTAACTAAAAGTATCAAAATACCATCTAAGAAATATATAATTAGACACTAGTTCTTCATATGGTGTGGGACAAACTTGATTTAACTTTGAAGAAAGCTTGGAGATATGAATAACCATAAAGCTTTGTCCAATATTCGATGATGATGATCACCATCATCTGATCGCTATCACCCATCGATCCACCATTGTTTGAGATTCATTACTTAGGCCTCATTTGGGTCTGCTTTTTTATTGCTTATGAAAACGGAGTTTTAGTACAAAAAAATAAAAAATTTGTACTACAACTCCGTTTTAGAAAGCAATAAAAAAGCCATCCCAAATGAAACCTTAATCATTATGACCTCTCTAATATCATTTGCCCGCAATTTTCAACAACTATTCCCAACCATTATTGTCACATCACTCTTATTTGACTATTATTATTTGACCGTCATCACCTGACTAACATCAATTTGACCATTGCATCTTCAATATTTTCCACCATTCACTTGAAATCATGATTATATTACATACTTTATAACCATATTTTCTATAATTAAGGGGAATAATAGATTTTTATAAACTTTTTGATATAGTAAATCATTTCAATTAGGCTAATTAGCCTCATAATTTTTTCTCTTTCTAGGATTTTCAATTTTTTATGTATCATGTCTTCTTCTCTTCTATCTATGTGTGTACCAAGATCTTTTACACAAACTAAGATGTAAGACTTTCACTCTCTCACGATGAGTTTTATTGCATATAATTGTGTGTCATTTATAGCGAAATTATTCCTGTCAAACTACAAACACTACTCAATATCTATAATCTGCCCTTTATCAAATAATTCCATTAATTTGGCCTAGTGAAGCCTAGTCATGCTTGAACCAGAACAATTCATATACATAAGGATAGCAGAAGCTTTGTTGATGCCACTTTTACTGCATATTGAAAGAATTGAATTTTGTCTTTCATTTTTTAACCATTTAACCAATTTCTTATGAACAACGAAAAGAATCATGTCATTCGACATGCTATAATTATGACAGCCTCAAAATGTCATATATATATATATATATATATATATATACAATGATCATGGAATTTCCAAAAAAGACATGTTCACATCACTGATAGATCAACGAAAAAAATAAAAAGCGCTCTGCTTCAAAAACACATTTTATATTACAATCTCCCCACATTCAAAAATATTAGCCTCAACATTTTTAACTACAGAGAGAGAGAGAGCTCAAAACAAAATTTAAAAATATAATCAGATCAAACTATTATAAATAACAATCAGCAATAAATCAATTAAAAATTACATAAAAAAACTTAACTTAAGGAAGAAAAAATACCCAAAATCATACATCATTTACCAATTAGAATACTTATGCACACATGAAATACTATAGGTACTCCTGTCGAGATGAAGCAACAACTAACCACATTCCATTACCAGCCTAAAATAGATTGCCCAGGTCTAATGGTTTCGCTCACTTGCTAGGGTCGCTGCGTCTCTGGGCCGCCCCTCGCCGGGGATCTCCTCTGGGATGTCCTCCTCCATTAGCTCACTGCTCATTTCTCCCTCTATTTTACCTTCCTCCTCTGTTGGTTTACCACGAGATTGGAAGAGTCTCATCGCCACTCAGCCTCTCGTGTCGAATGAGTTCACTTCTACGATTTATCATCATCCGACCAAAAACGCCACCACTCATTTTACTTCGGCTCAGTTCAACGCCGGAAGCTCTGAGTGGGATCTCTCTCTGGTGGGCTATTCCATCAGACGCCGACCCTACTATGAAGCCCTCTTCTCCACCATCAAAAAAACTTGGTCGCTCAAGGGTACCCTCTCTTTGCTGACCCACCCTAGATGATGGCTTTTTCCTCCTCAAGTTCAACAATAGGGAAGACTATGATATGGCCTGGTCTGGAGGACCTTGGTTCTTCTTCAGCAAGCCTTTCATCTTGCAGAAGTGGACGCCGGACTTTGTTCCCATCCGTGAAGAGTTCCCGTCGATCCCGCTTTGGATCAAAATAAAAAACTTTCCCTTTTCCTGTTGGATGCCGGAGGGGATTTCCAAAATCGCTAGCTGCGTCGGGGTTCCGCTTGCTGTGGATGCTCTTACAGCAGCCAAGACCCGACTCACCTTTACAAGGGTTTGTGTTCAGGTTTGCAGTACCTCTCCTCTCCCCGATGAGATTTACTATACAGTTGATGGAAAAGTCTTTCCTCTTATCGTTCTATATGACTGGAAGCCAATTCACTGCTCCTTCTGCAGCTCCATTATGCACGCCTCCAATGCCTGCCCAAAAAACCCAAATCCTAATCCCCCCATGTTGAACCCCCTAAAGCTCGTGGCAGGAGCTCCAGCTGCAAGCCACGCAATCCACCGCCAAAACTTAATATTCCCAAACCTCCTCCACCCCCTATTCCAATTCCTACGGGGCCTCCTGTAGACCCTTCCGTCTTTCCTCCTACCATCCAACCTTTATCCCACGCTTTGGTTCCTAACCTTAATTCCCCCTCCACAGAATCTCCTCCTATATCCCCAAATTCCAAACCAAATTCTACTTCCAACTTTGATACAGCTCCACCTAAATCACCTCAAATCTCAACTACCAACAAATTCGCCATTTTGACATACCAAAATGACCCTACCTTCAGCTAGACCATCACTCATGCTTCCTCCCCTTTCCCTGCTTCCGAGCAGCTGAAAGCTGTTGGCGGTGGTTCTGTTGGTAGCTCCAGCCTTGGGAGTGAAAAACAAACCACGGCCATATCGAAATCCACTAGATAAAAAACAGCCAAAAAGGCTACCACCCCATCCTCCAAATCCCAATGACTAGACCCTCTTCCATGGCTGCCTGGAACACTCGTGGGTTCAACAGCCCTGACAAAACCCTGTGTTGTAAGAATTTGGTCAATAAATTCAATCTTGACATGCTGTTTATTCTGGAAACCAGAATCTCACCCACCAACTCCTCTAATAGTTGGTTTCTTTCTAATCATCACGTTTTCTCCCAAGAAGGTTCTTTTGATAACTTTGCCTATGCCTCCCCGGGTAGGATCTGGCTCAAATGGAACACAAACACCGTCAGTTTTAAGCCTCTTTTTACTTCTAGTCAACTGGTTCATGGGATGGTGTCTACAAACAGTAATGAGCACTTCTACATTTTTGTGGTTTATGCCTCCAATAATTTGGAGGAAAGGAGAAATCTTTGGAATGATATTTTAGAAATTTCCTCTTCTATCTCTTTACCTTGGCTCATTCTTGGTTATTTTAACTGTTGTAGATTTAGCCATGATAAAGCTGGTCGCTCTCTGCTTCACGATAATAAGCTCTTGGATTTTCAAAACCTTATTTACCATATTGAAGCTCATGAACTTTCTTCGGTGGGGCATTTCCTTACTTGGTTCAATCATAGAACCGATAATCCCATTCATATCAAGTTAGATAGGATGTTGGTTAATGATGATTGGCTGGGGAGTTACCCTAACTCCTTTTTTGTTGTGGATGACCCTTATATTTCTGACCACTCTCCCATTGTTTTGCAACAGGGTGTTGACCTTCATCTGAAACATAGGTTTCAGTTCAAAAACTATTGGGTTTCTAAACCAGAATTTTGGGATGATCTCATTTCTATTTTCTCTCAAAAGTTTCACAGCAGTCCTATTCACTCTTTTTACAATAAGCTCAAGACGTTGAAGCTTAAGATCAAAGCTAAGAGCTGGGCTTCTTCCACATCTATGTATAAAGAAATCTATGAACTTAATCTCAGCCAAAATACCATTATTTTCCAACTCCAGGCTTCCCCCCTTGATCCCGATCTCAACCTGGCTTTAAAGAATACTAACCAGAAGCTTTATGTTAGAAATGCAGATTGGGCTGATTGGATTATACAACGTGCTAAAGCAAAATGGATGTCTTGTGGTGAGGATCTCAAATTTCTATATTCCAGGAACAATGTGAGGCATAACTCTAACCTGATTAAAGTCATTTCCACTGCCAATGGGACTTTCAATAGCCACAATGAGATCTCCAATGCTATTGTTCAACATTTCCAAAAGCTTTTTAACACCCCTCCCCCTCCTTCGAATCAAAGCCGGGATGCTCCAATCCTCCACAAACTTCCTCACACCCTTGTACCCAAACTTGTTGCCCCTATTTCTGTGGAAGAGATTAAGAATGTCATTTTCTCCTCCCCCAACCATTCGATTTCTGGTCCTGATGGCTATACCTTTTAATTTTATAAGTCCTCTTGGCATATCATTGGCAAGCAGTTATGTGAGGCTATTCGGTCTTTTTTCTCTACGGGTTCTCTTCCTAAGCAAGCCAAAGCTACTGCCGTAGATTTAATCCCTAAGAAGCCTCATGCCAGCAACATTTCTGATTATAGGCCGATCTCTCTTTGTAACACTTTCTATAAGATTATAGCCAAAATCCTTGCCAACAGGATGAGAGAGGTTATGCCTTACATTATACACCCTAGCCAAGCTGGTTTTATTCAAGATAGGATTGTTTCTGATAACATCCTTTTAGCTTCGGACCTTCTCTTGGATTTCAATGCTAAGGATAAGTATAAAATGTTTTGTGCTAAGTATGATATTCACAAAGCCTTTGACACTGTTTCAAGAGATTTCCTTCTTAAGTGTATGACTGATAAAGGTTTTCCACCTATCTTTGTCTCTTGGATCAAAGGCTGTATTTATGATGTTCATTTTTCGGTTTCTATCAATGGTGCACTTGAAGGTTATTTCAATTCTTCTTCTGGGTTGAGGCAAGGATGTCCACTGTCCCCTTATCTCTTCTGCCTTATTATGGACAGTCTATCAAAATTTTTTGAGGAGGCTACTATTAACAATTCTTTTCAAGGCATTGACTCCGGTATTGTCTCCATAACTCACCTTGTTTATGCTGATGATTTGCTAGTCTTTGGCAGGGCCACTGTTCAAAACGCCCTCACTCTTAATAGTGTTTTACTGGACTTTGCTGCTATCTCGGGCCTCCATGTTAACACCACCAAGAGCACTCTTATTATTTCTAATAATGTGCCCAATGAGGAGGTCTTCTCTGATACTTTGAACATCCCTTTAGTCAATTCTCCTATCAAATATTTGGGCATTCCTATTTTTTGTAAGAGACTTAAAAAGGATGATTTTCAGCCCCTTCTTCAAAAACTTCAAGTATCTTTAGACGGTTGGAAAGCTAAAAATCTATCCTTGGTTGGTAGATTTCAATACCTTAAACACACCATTTATAATATCCTTGCTTATTGGATTAGAAGCACTATCATTCCTAAAGGGTATTGTAAGGTGATTAACAACATTTGTTCAAGATTTTTGTATTATGGGGACATTCACAAGAAGGAGCTTCATGTTATTTCTTGGAAAAATACCTGCTTGCCTAAACTTTGTGGTGGTTTGGGCATCCCCACCATTGACTCACTGTATTACGCACTTGGCTGATCTTTAATATGGAGGTTTTACAATACAAATTGCTATCTGTTTAAATGGTGGAAGGCTAAGTATTTATCTTTTTGGAATTTGGGTAACAAGAAAATGATCATTTACTGGAAGTCCCTCTGTGTAGTTGCTGCAAAATTGCCAGACTCTTTTCATTTCAGTCTTAATGAAAATTCCTCTCTCACATTCTTTTGGGAACCATGGTGTTTTGGTACTTCTATTGATGATAGATTGAAGTTGGATAATATGGACCATCTGATATACCCCCATAATTTAGCTGTTAATTCCATTTTGGTTAATGTAATTTGGTCTATTCCCCCCACGTACCATTCCGTCTCACATTGCTAATGTTATCAAATATGTGCCCATTTCCAGTATAAGGGGTGACTATCACTGGACTAATAATGCAAAGCCTGTTTAAATCCTTTCATAGCTGCTTCTTCTTAGATTTCCAGGAGGTTTCTTGGCATAAACTGGTTTGGCATAAGCATTATGCTTTGCGTTTCTCTCTTTGCACCTGGTTGGTTTTTATGAAAGGCCTTAAAACTGCTGATAATTTGATCCTTAGGGGGTTGGCTGTTAACCCCTTATGTGTTTTTTGCAATAGCTCTGAGGAAAATCACTCTCACCTATTTTTGAATGCGATTTCTCTTTCAATTTGCTGCTGAAGATTTTTCCCTCCATGAACTGCATGCTTTTACAGCCTAACCTTGCTCAAGTTTTTCATTGTATTGACGATTGGGAATTAGACAAGAGTAGGAAAAACTATTGTTATATGTTACTTTGTGCTGCTGTATACTTTATCTGGAGAGCCCGGAACGACAGGTTGTTTCGCAATTCCTTTGACTGTCTATCTACTATCTGTGCCAAGATTAAACGGGCGGTGCATCTCAAAACTGTTAAATGGACATGATTTGGCTTTGGTTATCTTCTTTGTTCTATGTTCTGTTTTCGTGGTGGCTGAACTGGAAGATGACTATGCTGCAACCCGGGTATCAGCTCTTCCTGGATGGTCCTTTTGGGCAACCAGGATTTGCTTTTTTGAAGGACGATGATGAATGCAATCTATTTAGCCATCCCCTTGGATGGTCGTTTGGCAACCAGGGGACTCATACATCCTCTTGGATGATTTTGCGGCCTGGAAGATCTACTCGAGCATTGCTTTTCTGAGTCCTTCTATTTTTGTTTTACAATCTCTGTTATAGGTTTCTTTTTTTAAGCAGCTGTTTTTTTGCTGATAGGGTTTTGTGGTATGCTGCCGGTTTGTGGTGTTTGCAGACATTTTTCTTATTGTACTTCCATCATTTTTTGAATGAAATGGGCTAAGGCCCCAAATATTCCCAAAAAAAAAAAAAAGCCCAGGTCTAAGTATCGGGGAATGCATCATTATTTTTGAAAAGCTTTTTCTTGCTTTGGAAATAGTGTAAAATAATTGAAATTCAAATTTCTTTAGAAAATTTGAAATTGAATTTTGAATTTTAAATGTGGAGTCGAGCGTACCATTAGAAATGATATACCGCCTCGAAAGACGAAGATAAAATTTTATAATGTGTTCAGATTTAGAATTATGAATTTCCTCCTAAATAGGGTAGCCAAATTCAAGAAGAAACTATATATGACCCTGAAGGACCAAAATGATATTCGATCGAATATTTAGCTATAATAATCTAGATGGATTATCCTTAATTTCATATTCAAGATCATAATAAAAAATGAAATATCTTTCCAAGGGAAGAAAGTATCATTTCTAAATAACTACTCGAACATAATCGTCATTGAATTTATTATTTTTTTCAAAGAGAATTAATTAAATTTTAATATTGATCAGGGGACTTAATCTCCTACGAGAACAAGTCCTCATAGTTAATTATATCATAGGAAACTTGAGTTTCCTACGAATGCTCTTGATTAAAATAATGATAAAATCTTATTTTAATTTTTTAAGGAGAGATATCAAAGGAGTGAGATTAGAATTCCAATAAAGATTTGATTAAATTTTGAACACTTAACTTTAGTGGCCAACGGAGGAGAAGTAGTAGGTATTTTGAGATTATGAAATATTTCAAAAATACCCTATCTTTCCCATATGTTGGGCTTCAAATTTTGGTTTTAAGAAAAAAAATTAATTTGAGTTATTATTTTATTAGAAAGTTAGGATTATATTTTCGAGATTGAGGTTTTATAATTTTGAGTCCACCCCAGATCCTAAGTAATAATAGTTCCCCTGAGGCAGGAGCTCACACGAAGCTTAGATGTCATCCTCTGTTTTCTTTTTGGGCATGTTTTTGTTTTGATATTTTGTTTAACAAGAATTGTTTAGATGCTATATGGGTAGCATGTAGCGATATCCTTTTATAATTTTGAATTGCCCTGCATTTGGGGCAGAGAAAGAGATAATAAAAATTGCAAGTTGCAAGAGTTCAAGAACTATGTTATGTATCCTAGAAATCTGTTTTCTTTTATTTCCAGGTGGTGGTTTCGTCTGTCCAGTTTCAGATTGTTCTTCTGAGTGGATCCTTACCGGAAGGGCTTAATTTCGATATCAGTTAGGTATAAGAGCCGGCAAGATGCCGCCTCATCGCAATCAACAACGTCCAGTGCAAGGCATTGTGATTGAAGAACTGCAAAGAGAAATTCAGCGATTACAACAAAGGTTGGAGTGGTTTGATCAACGTGAAGCTACTGACCGTAAAGTAGAAGGTGAATAGGTAATCCCATTTTATCACACTTCATCCAGTGATGAAGAAAGAGCACCAAGATCGCGATCGTGCAAGAAGGGCTACCCGGGATGATGGAGGAATCAAAGTCGATTTACCTAACTTTGAAGGGAGACTAAAGGTGCATTTGAGACGGATTTTTCCCTGCTGTGCGTTTGGGAACGTAACCACAATGTGGTTTGGGGTTACTGCATCGTGCTCCGTTGTAAAAATTTTCACGTCCTGCGGTTGCTTTTCCGGTCCGAAATACGTGAATGACCTTATAGTTACCTGAAAACTACACTGTTTTCTTCTTCATCCTCGCCAAGTTCCTCTATTCGGACATTTATCCGCTTCTTCGTACACATCTCAGCACAGTCGGGACCTCATTTGTACGCTATTTTTTTTTTTATTCCTCCGAAGGCATAATTGCAAGAAGTCCGACTCAGCATTTTGCATCTTCAGGTAGCTAGCAGGGAGGTCTTTCCTTTATATGCATCCCATACCTCATTTTTTTTCTTTCATCACAATTTTTCCTTCTGCCACGTCTTTCTCCTGCATTTAAAGAGCTGATTTCTTGCCCTGTGATCTCCCCTGCATTTCTATTAGGTTAGCTCTCTTCTGCTCGCATCCTTCTCAGATTATTCAGTCAAAACTCTGTCCACTATTTATTACCGGTAAGTTAAAACAAAATTGAATTTAATTTCATTAAAAGAAACATCTTCAGAATCCCTTTTCTTTTCCATGCGACTTTCACTTTGTCTTTTATATGCAGCTTTCCTCCTTTATTTCTCCTCTTGAAAAGCTTTAGTTTTTACTAGAAATTTTTTATTTATTGTTATTTCTTGTATTAAGGCTACCTGTAATTAGAACCTGTAACCGTGTATATGTGTTGAATAACCTGTACCTGTAGTTAGGTAATATCAGGCTATAAATAGCCAGGCTCTGTATTAGCTCATTAAGAAGAAATCATACTATTTCCTTACAGCAATGTCTCCGTCTTTATGGTATCAGAGCACGGCTCAAGTTTCTTTTTTCTTGAACAGTGCCTCTCTTCTTCTATCTATCTTTCTACTCCGGAAGATC